CAAGGAAGGAGAAAAAGAAGAAGGCCAACCAGTTTCCACATACACCCACCATTTTCAAGGAGAATATCAGAAATTGTTTTGAAGTCCTGAACTTCAATGACTGAGAACCAGAGGAACTGTGGAATGAACTTAAAGAAGTTGTTAAGGAAATTACCAAGGAAAAAAAGAGAAGCCAAAGCCAAGAAAGACAAAGATCTCAGGAGGGAACTTAAAAGAATTTCAGAGAGCTGTTAGAAGAGACACGGAGCAGTATTACAACAGTATTTGTAAAGTCATTGAAGATGGAAACAGACACAGAAGAACTAGGAAAGTCTTCCAAAAGATCTTCAAATGTAGAGTTTCCAAATTTGATTTGGTGTTCTAATGGAGAGATAGTAACTTATTCCAAGAAGATCAAAGATGGAAGAAGTATTCTGAAATTCTGTACAGTCAATGTCCAAGATACCTTAGAAGTTATTCCCTACTTACAAGAACCTCTAGTGCTAGAAGATGAAGTTAAATCAATACTCCAATCATTACCAAGTTGGAAAGCTACAAAAAGCAACAGAAGAAGAAATTGTAAAGGTTTTGTCTGAATTATGCCAGCATATCTGGAGAATAACACAGTGGATTGGAAGAGGTTAGTCTACATTCCAATACCAAAAAAAGGATACTTAAGAGAGTGTACAAATTATTGTACAATATCCTTAATTTCACATCCTAGCAAAATAATGCTTAGGATTGTTCAATGCAGATTAAAGTCCTACATGGAAAGGGAGTTGCCAGATGTTCAAGAGAAGGCCGAGGAACACAAGACATTGCTGACGCATGCTGGATAATTGAGAAAGCCAAAAATGCCAAAAAGAAGCTAATATGTGCTTCATTGATTATACAAAAGCCTTTGATTGTGTTGATCATATCAAGCTATGGAATGTGTTTAGTAAAATTGGGAATCCCAGAACATCCCATTGTCCTCATGCAAAACCTATATACAGGTCAGGAAGCCACAGTCCAGGCAGAACATGGTGAAACAGAGTGGCTGCAGTTTGGCAAAGGACTGAGACAAAGCTGTAAACTCTCCACTTATTTATGCAACCTACACATACGTGGAATACATTTTGAGGGAAGCTAGATTGGAAGAAAATGAATGTGGTTTTAAAATTGGAGGAAGAAACAATCACCTGAGTTACCTGTGACTGTTGAAAATGCAAAGGATGTGCAAGCTCTAGTAATGAAAGTCAAGGAGCACAGTGAAAAATGGGACTAAGATTAAATATAAAGAAGACCAAGCTAATGACAACAGATACAGCAACCAGTCTTAACATTCACAATGAAGATACTCAGATGCTGGATAACGTCTGCCTTTAGGTTCAACTGTCAACAGTAAAGAAACCAGCAGTCAAGAACTAAGCTACAGATTAGCCTGTGATAGAGTAACAAGGCCTTGGAAGAGATACTCAGATGCTGTGACGTGTCTATTACTACAAAGATCAATATTGTGCTGGCAATGGTTTTCCCTGTGATACTCTATGGAAGTGAAAGTTGGACTGCTTCTTCAGAGTATTGATGCTTTTGAATGTTGGTGTTTGAAACAACTCCTGAGAATACTACGGATAGCCAAGGAAATAAATGGATCATTGAACAGATCAACCCAGATTTCTCACTCAAGGGACAAATGACCAAGCTCAAATTATCCTACTTCAGACACCCTACACAGAGACCCAGTTCTCCGGAGAAGGCTCTGATGCTGGGAAAGGTGGAAGGAAAGAGAAGAGGAAGACCAGCAGCAAGATGAACTGACTCAGTTACAGCGGTGACGAGTGCACTGTTGGAAAACCTAAAGGACCAGGTTGGGAACACTTTCTCCTGGAGAAGATCTGTCTGTGCAGTCACTAAAAGTTGACACTGACTTGATGGCACATTATCTATCTATCTATCTATCTATCTATCTATCTATCTATCTATCTATCTATCTATCTATCTATCTATCTAGGTTTGTAAGGTGGTGGGGAGGTTACTTTACAGTTTTGGGGAGTGTCTTTCCCTAACTTGAGTGTTTCTTATGGTGCAGTCGTTCAGATATCCATCTGGAACCAGAGAGGCCTAAATGTTAACAAAAGTTTTAAGAATATCCCCTTCTTATAGGCTTTGGACCAATGAAATAAATAAATAAATAAAAATAGATGTAGTTACGGGTGCACTTGGTATCTCAAGAACACTTAATGGCAATCTTCTCCTAGAGTCATTCTTAAAACTCTGACCAACCAGACTTTATGACTTTGGAAAGTACTCATGGTACAGATGGGCAGAACAGTGAGGCAAAAATAGAGGAGCCTGTATGATCATATTTTCCTTGAATTGTTAACTTGCCTATGAGGATAAGGCAAAGGTAGCATCTTCAGAATGCCAAGCTACTGCATCGAATCCTTAGCCTTTTCTCTTCCAAGATCACCCCTAATTCAACCCTGTGGCTCATTTCTGTGCTTTTCTCTCCTGCCATGTGTCCCCCAACACACCCACTGTAAAGACCCCATCCTACCTTCTTCCCCTTTCTTCTGCTGTTTGGTTGCTCCACAGGCATCTTTTATCATTTTTGACAGAAGCCACACTTCAACCATGCTCACGTTCTTCCTTGTCTCCTGTCAACCCATTTCCTTGTTGCCTTTGGTCTTTTTCTGGTTACAGTTTCCACCCCTCACAAGCAATGGTAGTAGAGTCCATTCAGTTGGGGAGGGAAGGTTGTGGGTGTCCAAAAACTCCGGCAAAGTACTGGCCACCTGTGGTCACTGCTTTATGACATGCCTTTGGTCTAAAGCCCACAAGTTGAGCTGAAAGCACTCCTGGTCTCCTTAAAGCATTTTAATGAAGGCAGTTCTAAATGGGTCTTCTTTTGTGTGCATAGAGCAGTGTTTCTCAACCTTGGCAACTTGAAGATGTGAGGACTTCAGCTCCCAGAATTCCCCAGCCTGGGGGATTCTGGGAGTTGAAGTCCTCACATCTTCAAGTTGCCAAGGTTGAGAAACACTGGCATAGAGGGATGGCCATGGTGAATTCATGTTCAACCCCAGGCAAAGCAAGGAAGTGCTGTAGGAAGCTGATGCTTCTTATCTCTTTAGCTGCTTCTGTAACACAGGCTGATATACTGGGACGGGTCTGGGATTCCCCATTTCCTCTGGGCATGGAACCACTGCAGTTTGCATCTGGGTCTCTGCATGGTGATAGCTGTAAATGCAACAGTAATCCCATGGCTGTCTTCTGTGAGGAACCAGCGAGTCAGAGAAGCCCAAGCTATCGTTATTAGTTGCTCATGGGATGCCCATGAAATGGTGGGAGCATGTCTGGAAATGTTGCTATGAAGGTTGGTTAGTGCTGCACGGCAGACATGCCAAACTTTGTTTCTTCTCTTATTTGCTTGTTCTCTCCCCGCTTTCCTTCTTTGTGCATTTTCCTGTGGCCTTGGACCTCTTGTACACTTGGTGTCTCAAGTCTTCATAGATGGCACCACATACAGGTGTAGCACTGTTTGTGTGCTCCCCTCCATATTTTCCTTCTGTGAAGAGTTGCAGGAATTTCAGAGAAGGTTTCAAAGGGCCACTTCTATTGCTGTTTTTGGGATGGCGGGGGAGAGCACCTTAACCATCCAGCACCTTAACCATCACCCTGCCTTCGCTCGAGTCAGCAGAATGAATGATATTTACAGTTTGGGGGCACCAGAGAGAACCCAGCTGCAACTGGCTTGTGTAGCTTCAGGAGAAGCAGTAGGGCTAGGAACCCCGGGGGGCTTCCTGATCGGGGCCTGCAGCTCCTCTCACCACACATCCTTCCTCTGGGCCTCTGCGCCCCTGAGAGTGTGCACGGCTCGGAGGCCACGTTGTATGACTCAGCTGACCGAGCCGGTCTTCCACAGGCACCTGTGCGGGCAGGAGGACGGGCGGCGTTCCGTAGCCTCTGAGTCATCTGGCCTTTTTAGCTTTTGCACACTCTGCTGCCTTCCTGCGGGCCTGCTTGCTGAGCACGGCTTGCTCTCTGCCCAGCTGCTGCAGAGGCTGTGGCCGTGGGGCGGTTGAACTCCAGGGGTTTGGGTTGAAGCAGGGCAAGCCAGCCATGCGAGTTGGTGAGGGACTGGAGAAAATTGGGGTCTGAAACCTAAGAAGGGGGCCCTTGCTGAGCTGCTCAGATTCCTTCATGCAGCTGCTGGGCTGGAGTGGGGAGTCAGAAAACGCACCCCAGGCCATCAGCAGTCCCAAGGCGTCAAGGCCGCTTTCCATCTTCCCTTTGTGCTTTTTTCCTTGGACTGAAGTCACGAGGAATGCAAAGATCTGGTCTTGATCCAGTTTTTAAGCACTTGAATATGACTTAGAAGGCGGAAATGTTTTTTTTTTTTAATTCCTGTTTGCCCATAAAAGACATGCAGCCCTTTTGCAGTGGAAGGGAGAACGTGCTGGGCTTTCTTTAGCTCTTACCCACCTTGTGTAGTTTGCCAGTTTTTAACAGGTACTCCTCTGTCTTTTGCTGACTGCTATTCAGTAGAAATCAGGTTGAAAATGGGCCCAGTCGCGTTACCTAACCCCTTGCCGGCCCCCGAGAGGGGTGGACTCCTGAACCTTTCCTGGAAGGAGAGACCCTTCCTAAGTGCTCCTGAGGAGGACCCTGGCTTCTTTCAGGGGCTTGTTAGAAACATTGGTCGTGGCAGGCGCGAGTGAAGGGGGCTTCGCAGGTGCCCAGTCAGGGCCTCTGGACCTCCCGCCTGCCTCTGGAGCGCCTCCTCTGAAAGGGGGTTCAGAGCGGTGCTCCTGGGTCGGCCCCTACGGGGTCCAGGCTAAGGCGCCTCTGCCTTTTCTCCAGGGGAGGGAAGTCCTGCTTGGGCTCCCGATTTCCCCAAATATCCTAGTCTCCAAAGGAGGGGCTGTCCTCCCTCAGGTCCCCGTGACGAGCCCTGTCTGGAGAAAGCGCCGTTGTGATGTGGGAGCCTCCTAGCTCTTCCTGGGTGTTTTTTCTAACCTTCCCGCCTCCCCCCGCAGAGTTCTGCCGCATCGACCAGCCCTTGTGCCACAACCAGGATGAGCAGCTCAGCTTCGAAGCCGTCCGCAGCATCCACAAGCAGATGGACGACGATGCGAACGGCAACGTGGACGTGGAGGAGAGCGATGAGGTGAGGGCTCGGGCAACACAGCCCTGCTTTCACAGTGACGCTGCTTCGTGGGCAACCCTCTTTCAGTCGATCCGGGTTAGATGGGGGGCGCTTGTGGCCTGCTGAAACTCTTGGCCTCTGAGACAGGGCCTTCTGGGGCAAGGGACCAGGGTTTCTCGATGGGGCACAACTCCTGCAACCTCAGTGGACACCCCCCCCTTTCTGTTTTGTGGCTTGTATTCTCCCTTTCCCTCAGATCAGATCAGCAATTGATAGCATCCATGGAAATGAAGAGAATGAGCTTTGCTGGCTTAAGGCCAACAGGAAGCAGAACTCTCCCTTTTACAGTTTCTCATTTTCAGGATCTAGGAAATGGTGAATCTTGGAATGAGGGGTCTCTCTCTGCACATAGGCTGCCCTTCCCGGCCTGGTGCTGGTGCTCAGGACTTGCCTGAGTGGAAAATGCTGACCCTCTCTAAGCTCCAGGACAACCTTCTTCCGTCCTTCCACCTGCTGCATTCAGTTTCAGGAAGTTGTAGTTCAGCTGCTCTTGCCATCAGACAGCTGCCTCCACTTGCTTCGGAGAGCGTAAAAGGAGCATGTGTGTGCAAAAAACAAACTCAATCCAGGCCAAATGAATATTTCTGAGGCAGGGACTTCCCACCTAAAGTTTATTTTCTTTGCAAAATATGAGTAGAAGCAGCTTGAAAAACAACCACAGATTCTCTTCTTAAACTTCTTAAACTTTGGAATTCACAGCCACAAGATGGGGAGCTGGGCTGGCTTCAAAACAGGGTTGGATCAATTCAGTGAAGTCCTGGGGATCGGTGGCTCTTAGCTGGATGGCGGTGGGGCTGCCTCTGAAGGGCCTCTGCCGGGAGAGGAGTGGGCTTCCTTGGGCAGTTGGTGGCCCACTGGGAGAACAGGCTGCTGGAGGAGATGGGCCAGGGGCCCCGCCTGGCAGGGCACGGCATGGCACGGCTTCTGTCCTTAGAAATATGTATCCAATCAGATACGATCAGAAAAGAGCAAAGTCTGGGAGAGCAAAACCGGGAAAAATGTAAAAGAGATGGAACAAAGAAGTGGGAGAGGGTGGGCGAAGGATGGCAGGAGTTGCGCAGTGCTTCTCTCAAAGTCCATTTGTACTGTGGGAAACTGGGGTACGGTCTGCTGCCAGTGTGAGGGCGCAGAGGCAAGGAGAGTGAAGGAAGCCATCCCTCGGCTTGAGAATGGCAGCCGGTGGTTCCCCAGCAGTTCATGTCTAACCAACACACCTCCACCATCCCGGCCAGCTTCAGAAGTCTGCCAGACACCAGCACGCTTGACAGACAGTTTTGCATTCACTCTTCCTACCTGTCCTCTGCAGGGCAGTACAGCAACCGTGTTCGTCCGATATGCCCGCAGACACGGAGCTTTTGCATAGACGTTCAATATACTGTATATCTCAGTGGGAGTGGCAGCGTTTTAATATTTCTCCAGTTTCACAATCTACGCTGCAGCCTTACAATTTTTCAACATTCTCACAGCGCTTACGACTTCCTTTTCATCTGAAAAAGAAACTATTTATTTCTTTTTAATTTTGAATTTAACAAAAATAGAAAGTACAATAGCGGTGGGACAATTTTAAAAAGTATATATAATAATGATAAAATTAAACTAACGGTTTAAAAAAAGATCCATATAGAATTAATACACAACTAGTTCAGTCCTTTAATGTCTTATTAAACCGAGACCCCATTGAAACCTCTGCTCCTTCTTCTCATGTCTGCAGATTAAAGCCATTTTAAAAAATCAACATCTCTTGGATCCACCCTTTGATTACTGGAGTGTTCCTTCCTTTTGATCTTTGGAGGAGGATTCCCTTAACTGTTGTAAACTTGTTGTAAACTTTATTGGCATGGTACCTCGTACAACGAAATTAAATGCCATCCCCAGTCCACCTTATATATAAAAACCATAAAATAAAAACACACATCCTTCACAGTCTATTCGCCATTGCACAACCCCTGATGTTACATTAATATTGCATTATACAGCAGAGTTCAATATAGTTGCATCTCTGGGATAAAAGCTATTCTTCAGCCTATTTGTCCTTGTTTTTATTATCCTGTTCAAAAAAAGAATGTCCCGGGTGAGATGTTTTGAGCTTTCTTGAGGCAGCAGGAGCTGTAAAGTTCTTCCAAAGAGGGGAGAGGGCAACCAGTGATCTTCTGGGCGGTGGCGGTAACCCTCTGGAGCACTGATCCCCAGGTTAATTCTGTGCAACTGACTTTTTCTGCCCCTGCACATGAAACAATATTTTCCTGTCATCCTTTTTTTTGTAGCACTCAGCCACAGCCTCTTCCCTTCCAAATTCCACCTGGCTTCCTTTTTCATAGCGTAACTCCACACGTGGCTGTGGCGCTCTCTTCCAACTCACTCCCACTCCCTCTGGGAGAAAAATTGGTCTTCTAATTCTTCATGCTCAGAACCTCTCGTCACCCTCGTACGTGTTTCACTAATCCAGTCTTTAAGCAGTCAACTCAGTCATGCTTTTAGATTTATATTCCTTCGTCTGCCCTGTGTGGCTATGAGTCAATTTATGCTTACCCCGTGTATGTAAAACTCACATCTTTTGCTAAGCAGATATTCTCCACAATCAAAGTTTTTGTTAATACTTTGGGCTCCATGTTGCCCATTTATTTTTTCTGTTCTCTCTTAGGTCATTCCCATCCATCTGTTCCCATCACTTATCAGCATTGCTTTCCCCTGGTTTGCATTAATCAAAAATCCACTCATTTCCCCTCCAAAGTCACCTCTGGTTCTTTGTTGCTTCACATTCGCTGGAGCAGAACATGCAACTGTCACTAACCTCTGGATTCCTACTTTTATACGCACACCAGCAACACAGATGATATTAATTCATATTTTCTGACATAGAGTTTAGCTCTTTCTTGCACAGCTGAATCTACAAGTTGAATGAATGCGTTCATCAGTTCCATTCTGCAAAATCAGGTCACCTTTAATCAGATCTGTTATGTTCTTTTCTTTTCTCTCAGTTTTTCTCTTCTTTCCTGCCCTTAATTTCTCACTGTATGCTCTTTATCTTCTGCTCCTCTTGTATTCCAAGTCACAGTCTCCTTATGCCTATCGGTATTGACCGCTGCCTCCCATTGTGGCTTTAGTCAATCATGGTTCATACAAGGCTTTTTAGTAAGATAGAGAAAGTGTGAACCAGGCTACTAGCCCCATGCAACATTCCAGCGATGGTGCCATACAGTTTGAGCAAAGTTTGGCTGGGTTGCAACAAGTGCAACCAAAGCCCCGTTTTATTTCAGACATGCTCACATGCTCTGTGCAACCTAGAGATTACCTTGCAAGCCAACATAAAATTGCCCATATCCTGCTAACCATGATGTCTATCAGTATCCTGCACACGCTCAGGACACCATCAGGAACGAAGGCAAAATCAGGATTACATTGCACCGATCGACCTACAGCGGTGTCTCTCAATCTCGGCAACTTTAACATGCTGGCTGGGGAATTCTAGGAGGAGAAGTCCATACATCTTAAAGTTGCCGAGGTTGAGAAACACCGATTCAAAGTATCCCGTTGATTCTTCGTGGGTCAGAGTCAGTCTGAAGCGCTGTGTCCCATTCTGAAGGTTTCACACCAGGTGAAAAGAAGGCAGGATGGATGGTTGGGGGCCTGGAAACAACTGCGAGGAGGAGAGAGGGAGAGAAAGCTGTTTTGAGAAGAGAGGACTGACGGGGACACGTGAAGTGGCATTGCAGAGAAGGAGGACAAGACATGTTCTCTTGTCACCCAGAGAATGGCCTGAGCTGCTGTGAGAGCAGTTCAGCTGTGGCGCCAATTACGAAGGGAGCTTTTGATTTCCTTTCTGCTGGGCGCAGAGAAATGTCGGTTCGACGGCCACCAGTTCGGGATGCTTTCATTTTGAATTTGGGCACCAAGCGAGGAGTGAGACCTGAGGGCTTAAGTGGACTCTCCCAGCTCTGTGATTCTATATTTATGTTGAATTCTCCTTGCTAAAAGCACCTGCTTGGCTGAGGGCCGGGACAGTAATTTGAAGTACTGCGGTGTTAGAGTCCTCCTATTCTTCCGAGGGGCCTCACCACAGGGGGTGGTGCCTTTAAACCTGTCCTTCCTGTTCTGTGTGCCAGGGCATCTCACTTCCACAGGCGTTTGCCTGCTGCAGCATTTATTTTCCCGTGGGACTGCATTTATGTCTTTCCCACCCTCTCCTTAGCTGGCTGAAGAGCAGTTTCCCAGGGGAACCCTCTTTCCTTGAGCATGGCTAAGCTTGCCGGCTGGTGTCTTTTGCTGACTTGGGCTCAGCCTTCGGGTGCCGTGAAGGAACTGGGGCTGTGCTCTCCAGGCCCGAGAGGGTCTTCAGAGGCCTTTCCCAGCAGAGTCGTTTCTGGTCTGTAGGCTAAGCTTGCATGCTGAGAGGCCTTTCTCTCAGGGAACAATTCCTCAGCTCCCTTGAAACTTGCAAAGTGCCAGTCTAGCCTTTAGTTTTCCGGAGACGTGGCTGATGTGGTCTCGTTGGAAAAGAGCCTGTTTTAATTTACCAACACCCCTAACGTGCATAAGATCGGTAAACGCAGGTTTGGGATGGGAGATAAAATTTCAAAATGCTCTAGGACATATTTGAACTGAGCATTTTTCAATTCTGTGCTGGTGTTTCTTTCAAGAGCTCATGATGAAGTGCGGGGGGGGGGGGGGTTCCCTCCTTTTAGCCTCACAAGAACAGCCCTGGGGTGCAGATGGGGCTGGGAGGGAGCAATTGACTGAACCAACATCATCTATGTGAACCAGAATCTTCCTGGTCCAGGTCCACTGCTTTAAACATTACCCTACACGTCTCACTCCATCTGCCAAATGAGGATTCATCTCAGAAATAAACTGGCCTCCCTACACAGGTACTAGCTGGCTGGCCATCCAGTCGTGAACTTCATTCTAAGGAGCTGTTCCAGTCAGAGATGGACATTGTTGGAAGCTGTACGTTTACCTTGGAA